CCTCCCGCCCGTCAAACGCATCGTGGTACGTCAGCCCGTCCTTCACGCGGTCCGCGCGCGGCACGCGCGTCTGGAACGCCTCCGCCACGCGGGAGAGCAGCGCGGGGTACACGATCGGCTGCGGCGCGCGCTTGGGGCGCGGCGCGACGGTCGAGGAGGACGAGTTGGCGTGCTGCTGCAGCGCGTGCGGCGTCGCCGCGCCGGGGGGGAGCGTCGGCGCGGTGGGCGAGTTGGGCGTGCTCACGGCGGACATGCTCATCGCGCGGTCCTGCGCCGTGCGCTCGCGCCGCGGGCCCGCGAGCCGCGGGAGGGTGCGCGAGGTTTCAGAGGAGCGGCGCGATGCAGACGCCGTGGCGGGCGAGTTGAGCGAAGAGTGCGAGGCGATCGAGGCGGGGGAATGGGAGGCAGACGCGGGGGAGGTGCCGGCGAGGGAGGCGTTGTGCGGGGCAAGCGCCAGCCCGAAGCCGTTCTTAGCCCCAGAATACCCGTCGTGGTCGAAGCTCGTCGGGCTCGTCGACGAGCTGGCGACGGACGAGCGGATGGACGTGGGCGGCGTGTCCGATGCACTCGAGAAGCGGTGCGCGGCGTGTGGGTAGCGTTGTGCGTACTGCGCGGCCGAGGCGACGTATGGCGGTTGCGATTGCGCTGCAATGGTGTTAGAACGCGCAATGGTGAGCGACATGAAGCAGAATCGAAGAGAAGCAGAGAGTGAATGAGGATAACCACAACGCCCAGTCAAGTCAAGCCAGCCGCGTGCCCACGCCCACTATGATAGTCCAGCCACAAATCCAACAAAACGCTGGCAACACACCGCACGACGACACCACATCGTCATACAGCCACGGAGACGGAAACGGAGATATTTGATATCAATTCCCGCATCTCGATAAACGGGATCTACAAGCGCGTAGACATAGCAGCGCGCGTAGATAACCGCGGCACGCCCCGTGAGCCCAGAACAGAAATGCCGTCCACGCACGCACGTCGCGAGTCCGCGATCCACATCGCCGAGAACGTCAGCATTGGGCACGACGAGAGCGAGCGCGAGAGCAAAGGTGCGGGAAAGACGATGCCAGGCTCGGGCCAAAAAAACACCCAGGAACAAACAGGCGGGGAATGCGGAATCTGAGGGAAAGACAAAAGAAGAAGAAGCAGAGAAGAGGAAATAGGGAGGCAAGATCCCGCGATGTGTCGCGGGAGGGTGGGCACGCGGCATCATGGCCCGAATGTGCCAAAGAACCGGCAGCGCCTACAGTAGGCGCTTCTGCGATACAGATCGCACTCGAGTCCCGAATCCGAGGTAACCCCTCCAATTCCCCCATACCCCGGACCCGGAACTCTAAACAACGTGGTAGGACCCACCAAGTGGGAAGAAAAGAACGCAGGAACATGCAAGCGGGGGGAAGGGAAGAAGGCCGCTCGAAATAGGAATCGAAATAAAACCAAAAACAGCCAAGAGAGGAAGTAGAACGCACATTGTAGTTCTGTAGATAGAAACGCAAAAAAAAATCAAGTCAGCTCGGGTCCGAGGAGGGAGAAAGAGAGGGTAAACGGAGGAAGGGTGGAGGAGGGAGCGGAGAGGCGTCGATGCAATTTAGCATTTCACATGCTCGTACATCCGGCACAGCACCCCGCCTCCAACTCGCGCAAATCCGCACATCCACATCCACGGCGCCATACACTTCTCCGGCGTATGCATGCATATGGCCCTTTTCCGAAACGCGCCACGTTTGGGTCTGGAGACCTCAAGCCCGCCGCACGCCTGGCCAGAGGCCCACACAGCCCGAGGTACGGCACGCTGCGCGCTCGCACCATCCCTCCCTCCTGATCGGATATGTCGTAGTGCAGGGGTCCCGCCCGTGCATCGCGCACCCAACGGATCGGACACGTTAGACGCCCACGAGCGCGCGCGTACCAGCACCCCTGTTCGAGCGCACACCGAAAAGGCGCCGCACCCGCTCCGAGCCCAGTGTGACCCGCGCTAATTAATAGACGGGGCAACGGATGCGCACGCCAGCCTGGACCGTACGCTGCCCGATCGTACGGCGGTCGGCCGTTGGACTCGCACATAACAACGCATCGAAAGAGGAAGAAGAAATTCCTTAAGAAATGGAACGGAAATAAACGCACGTTGTAACTCTGTACGCAGAAAGCAGAAGGTACAAGTCAGCACGGGTCCGACCAGAGGGAGAACGCAGAGAAAGAAGATAAAAGACGAAAGATGGGCGAGAGCGACCCGCGCGCGTGCTCATCTCCCCACGAACGTGTGCGGGACGACATGAAGCCCGATATGGGAGGGGCAGGTCTCCTGCCCGACCTCGGGCCGCGCGCGCAGGTGCGCCAGCTCCCACCCCGACAAGTGCCAGGATGGGCGGTAGATATGCACAGCCGCGTCTCGCCACGAGGGCAGCACCGAAAAGCCAAGACGCAGAAGCAGACAGAAGGGTGGAGAGACTCACGTTGTGGTGCTATATATATAGACGGGGGGAAGGTATAGTCAGTATCGTATAAGGAAAAGGGATGAGGAACGAGGAACGAGAAATGTATCGCCGCGACAGACTGCACGAAAGCAAGACAGCAGCGTCACGGTCTACTTGCTCGTGCTCGGCGCGTGGTGTGTCGCGGGCCCGCCGTAGGTCGACGTCGACTCATCTTTTCGCCTCGGCTCGCCTCGCGGGAGGGGAAGCGAGCGCGTATCCGGTCGTATCGGGGAGCGGCCGCAATCGATGCGGATGATGCCCCCGCTCCCAGTCCAAGAAGTAAAGACAAGAACGAACACGACGACTCACGTCTGGCCCACGGCAGCTCGCTCTCCTCGTCGTCTTCCTCCCCTCCCTCTCCATTCCCATTCCCATTCCCGTTTCCATTCGGGGGGTGCGAGTGATTAGTGGGGCTCGCGGGGCTCTCGTACGAGTCGAAGCTGATCCCCAGCCTGCCGCCGTCGCCGCCTATCGCCACGCTCAGCGCCGGCGGCCCCTGCTGCGGCGTCGGCTGATGTGCGTGCGGCGGCACAGGGCTGTGGCTGCGCTGCTGCTGCCACTGTGCGCCGTGGGCGACCTGCGCCTGGTACGCCTGCGCGGGGGTGAGGCCCTGGCCGTCGAGCGGGCGGTCCGGCGGGGGCGCGGGGACGCCGGGGTGGTACGCGGGGCGGAGGGACGGCGCGCGCAGGGAGGGCGGGCCGCCGCCGCCGTAGTAGCCCGGCGGCTGCTGGGGGTAGCCTTGCGGGTAGGGTGTTGCTGGGGGTGGTATATGGGCGGCCTGTGGTGGATCTGTTGTTGTTGGTATGGCGGCTGGGGCTGCTGGGGGTATGCTTGGGGGTATGGCGGGGCGGAGCGGGGGGCGGGGCGGCGGCCGAAGATGTCCTCGTAGGCGGCGTTGCGCTCGGGCGGCTGGCGGGGGCCGAGCGGGCGGTCCATCCAGGCAATGGCGGCGGGCAGAGCTACACTTTTCGGCGATCACAATACAAACCGGCACCACAAGACGTCACTTGAACCATCGTATTCGTGTCTCACTTGGTATTTCAGCGCGATTGTTATCATGTCGCCCCTTCAACTCATTTTCTTATTCTCGACTTGAACAACGGGCTCTGTCGCTGTCTCTGGTCGACACCATCTTAGACCAATGCTCTTTCCCTGGCTGCGCTATCTGCTATCCAATCGACCCTGAAAATTATGAAACGTCTGTCCGCCACCCGAGCGCTGTCAAGTCGGCACGCCCACCTATTTCAGATGCGCTATCATCTCCGTACTGTATGTAAGCCTGTCGACTCGTTTTGTCTTCAAGTCTTCTCTTCTGTTTGTAACCCTTGCCATCTTACGCTGTCTATTCACCTTTCAAGCCACCACACCTGGCCTATTCAACTTTCAATCACTTCGTCTGGTCTCTCTTTCTTTCTCTCTGACAAGTCGTCGTTATCACCCCTTCTTTTCATCCGCCCCTCTCAGTCTGAGCAATCCAATTTCTTTCTCTTCCAACCTTTCCACGACCAGAGCTAGGAAGGTCCCTTCGGCTCTCTGCCATCGCATTAATGGGGTAGTGGTAACCTGGGTCGTTGCCATGTCGATGTCGATCCATACGATCTTCGAACCGCCGGGGGTTCGATTCCCCCTTAATGCATGGGTTGCTCCACATTTCTTTTTGCTGCTGCTAGTCTCAAATTCCCCTTTGCCGCCTCAGGTGTTGTTTTGACTTGGAGGAATCCAAGGTCCTCTTTCTGTGCCTATGTGTATTCTCATTAGTATACCAAGAGACCGCCAAGCCTGCAGTAGCATTAATGGGGTAGTGGTAACCTGGGTCGTTGCCATCCAATTGTGCCAAGCATGTCTCGACCCGCCGGGGGTTCGATTCCCCCTTAATGCATGCAACTTCCTTGGTAGCGTTTTTGTTGCTTCCAGTCCCAACATTCCCCTTCTGCCGCTCAGGTGTTGTTTTTGATCCCAATGTATTTATTTCCTTCCTTAATCCGCCTATGTGTAGTCTCATTACTGTACCACGAGACCGCTAAAACTGTAGTAGCATTAATGGGGTAGTGGTAACCTGGGTCGTTGCCATTTGGGAATCAAAACATAAATGCTCGACCCGCCGGGGGTTCGATTCCCCCTTAATGCATCCAATTTGGATCATTTCGTTTTTGCTGCTGCCAGTCCCAATATTCCCCTTTGCCGCCTCAGGTGTTGTTTTGACCCCAAAAAAAATATTCCCTCTTTCTGCGCCTATGTGTATTCTCTTTACTGTACCACAGGACCCCCACCAATCTAGTAGCATTAATGGGGTAGTGGTAACCTGGGTCGTCATACACTACTAGGTTCCATGCTCGACCTGCTGGGGGTTCAATTCCCCCTTAATGCATATGCCTTCATTCATTTCGTTTTTGCTGCTTCCAGTCCCAACATTCCCTTTGCCACCTCAGGTGTTGGTTTTGATCCCAAGGTCTTTATTTCCTCTTTCTCCGCCCATGTGTATTTTCATTACTGTACCAGGAGACCGCCAGAACTGCAGTAGCATTAATGGGGTAGTGGTAACCTGGGTCGTTGCCATACACTACTAGGTTCCATGCTCGACCCCCTCGGGGTTCGATCCCCCCTTAATGCATTTGCTTCTATCACTATCTTTTTTGCTGCTCACAGTTCCCACATTCCCTCCCCACTTCTGCTTTTTCTCTTTTTTATCTCAAATTTGGTTCCCTCCACACCCATGTGTATTCTCACTGTGAATTGATGAGCATAGCATTATGGTCCTGGGTTGTTGCTATAATGATAAAGTAAAAGGCCTGCACTCTCAACCCACCAGGGGTTTGATTCCTCTTTAATGCATTCTATTGTAGTTTCCAGAGTTTTTGTGTGCTGGATTCAGTTCCCTTTTTTCCCATTTCTTCACCTGTAGCAATTTCTTGGTTCTCAACCAGCAGCAATTGAATATGGTGCACCATACCAGGAAGAATTAGCATCCAAATGAGTGGCCAGAAAAAAAGATCTCCCTCATCTCTTATGCTGTTGGGAGGAATTGAACCTCCAACACTCTCAGTTGTGAAAGGGATGAAAATATATGGGATAGAGGAAGCCACTGTGGCTACAACAGCTTTGGGACCAATTGGTTCCAATGACAAGTTAAAGACTTGGAACCAGACAATTCAAAAGAAAATGAGTGAGCAGAAAGCCTAAATTGAACCTCCAGCTCAGATGTGGGTGATACTGGATGGGAGTGGCCTCTGCAAATTTCTCTGTCTTTGAAGCTGGGGTTTTGGTTTTGTGATTGGATTTTTGGGGGACAAGGGTGAAGGCACACAGATACAACTACAAAAATAAAACACTGTATCAAATTATGTACAAACATGCCACTGGGAGGATTTGAACCTCCAACTCCTTCAGCAATTTGGCTCCTTGGCAATAAATAACAGAAGGTGGCCTCCGTTATGCTGTTCCTTTTGTAAAATAAATAAAATCTAGTATAAGATCAGATGTAGCTTGTATAAAGTTGTTCAAAAGCCAAATTGCACTTACTGTTGAGGGAGATGTGAAAAGTTCATATATAATGTGTGGACTGGTTGTGTATAAAATGTGAGTCACAATATAGTATGAGATGTGAAAACTTCATAGTATGACATGAAACTGACATTACATATTGTCTGAAGTTGTTCATATATAGACTGAGATCAGGAACTGATGAACCGGTGCTGTCCCATCCAGTGAGCGGGAGTGCCTGCCCACTGTCAAGCATGATGGTAGGGCTGGCCCGCCCCACAGCAGCATTGTGTTGGGTGCTTGGTGCTCTGAGCTCACTGTTCAGACTTTCGGACTTTCAGAATCTGGCCCAAAGTTTGGTGGTGCTTGGCTGGTCTGCGGGTCCTCTTGACCCAACCCCATGGAACTCTCCATTATTGTCTTTTGTCCATGTCTCTCTGACCAGCCAGGTCCCCACTCGCTGACCCCGGTACTTGGGGGCACAAATACATCTGCCACCTTGCTGCTGAGCTCAGAGACAAATACACATTCCATGAGACAGAGGCAGATGCGCTGACACCAGTGCCTGCCCTGGAAGCAGGCAAGGAGGAGGTATCACAGCCGAATTGGGATAGAAGAACATTCAATAGACTGTGCTACTAATACATACCACAATGTGCTACTGCAGAATCCCACTCAGACATTGTGCTGCAAAGAAAGAATGCATGGACCCTGCAAGATAGAAGCTGGCGGGGTAGCTCTGTCTGTCACAATTTCGGCCTGCTTGGTCAATGCCAGCCACATGGGCATCTGATGCATCTGGAACCCTGAGATTGTTCGCGGCTTTCCAGCCTGTCCCACTACATTGAGCGCCTGCCAAAATCTGAGGATGATTGCATAACAAAGATGCCAAAATAGTCTGCTTACCTGTCCGATGTGCACAGCAATTGTGCTGTTGTTCAGCTCCCCATTGACAGTGATCAAAAAGCGGAGGTACATTCCGGTGGTATTTGTTGAGGATGACTATCATCTGCAACAAAGTCAGCTCAGGAACAGTTACGAATTGGGGACACTTGCAGTGCTTGGCATCAGTGGAGGCCATCAATGTTGGCAAGAAGCCAGCATTTGCTGGCTGGCTCATGATGCTCCCGTTGGAGAAGAAGAGTGTGCCTTTGTCTATATGCACAAGCTCCTGTGCAATGTGTACTATAAAGAGACAGTTGGGCTCTTTGGAGCATCCTGCAAGCTGTTGTAGTATTTGTACCAGCCGCACATTGTTTTATGCACTGACGAGCTCCATGACAAAGATAGCGCTGAGAGCAACAGCCAGGTTGTTATTATTGTGGCTGTACTTTGACAGGGTGTTGAGGTTGAGGATGGGTAGTTGGGGGGTTGGAGATGCTGACGAGGTCAATGGCCAGCAGTATAAATTTCCAGATAACAGGTTCACTGTAGTGCATCTACAAGAGCTAGTAGGAGAATGACATTGCCTGTGCTGCGAACATGCACACCTCGACAACGATCTGCACAATTTTCGAGATCGGGTGCTCAATCGCCTTGAATGTCTCAATGGTTGTGTCCCATGCATCTTGCAAGCCTACACCGCAAAGTGGGATGAGCACAATAGTTAGCATGGACACCGCACATCTTACCAAGATAGAGCAGTCCAAGACCCAAAGCCATGCACTGCAGCACAGAGTTGATGTTTGCCAGAGCATTCAGTTCTGTGCAGCTGTGAGTAGCAGAGGCGAAAGAAAGGTGTAACACATACAATTTTCAAGATGTGTCTTGTATATGTCCTTAAGGCTCTTGGGGTCGGTGACACCAAGCTCCTTGCCAAAGTCATGGAAATGGCCACTCATATGGTGTGTCCGGTTATTGGATGGGCCCCCACAGTCACTCAATGGGTGTCTGGGTGCCCACAAGAAGGAATGTTAACTGGTGTTTCATTAGTTTGTGAGATGGTGGAAACCTGTCAGCCAAACAGGAAACACTAAAACCAGACTCACGCCGAAGTCAACAAGACCACGGTTTATTCAGTGAGCGAGCGCGAGGACTACAACAAGAGGGAAGACGACAAGAGGTAAAACTAAGGATTATGTAAAGTAATGATGTGATGTGAACCGGCGGGTTTACACCCTCCCCGTCTTTAGAACACAGACCATTGTCCAAAAAATTGTGAAGTACCAAAAAGTGCCCATGCTACCAAGTCCGACAGACCGTCCGACGCTCCCAGGACGAACAGGAACCCACTGAAGGGAAACAGGTGCGCCGATGGGGTCATGACCGAGCGCGCACAGGGAAGGATGGGGAGAGCGGCCAGAAAGAAGAAACAAGATTAAAGGGATGGGGCTATGCTAATGGACCAAAAGATCAGCCTTCGCGCGAAAGATCGTCAGTGCCATCGGAGTAGTCATAGCTGTCTTCATCGGGGTCGTACGGCGGCATCACAGCCGCCACCGGCACGTAACCTTCTTCATACATCGACGAGAAACCAGCGGGTCCTACTGCTGCGACGACTGCAGGTGCCAAGCGAGGTGGAATACCGAGCGCAGCATCACCGGGGCAGTTGTTGCTGCGGTGTTTGACCAAGCCCGGCGTCTGCGGCGTCTTACGGCAGTGGTAGCAGCCATTTGCAGTGCGGAGGGCCTCCTTCTCAGCGTGGGACAATGGCACAAATGCAGGGGATGCGGAGGCAGGCATGGGTAGCGACTGGGATGGTACAGCGGGAGCAGAAGGGATCACCAGAGGCGCGGGAGCGGCAGTCCTCGGGAGCTTGACAACGCCCTCGGCAATCAGGCTGTCCCACGTCGAGGACATGGTAGCAATGAGGTTGTCGACTTTCATTGTTGCAAAGGGGAGCTCGTTCATGCCAGAGACACGAAGGCGGAGGATGGGGTGGGAGTGGAAAAGAAGATGATTCTTGAGGATGGAGTCGCTGATCGTGTACCCAACACCAGCGCCGGCAAGGGCATTTCGCGCGTTCTGGAGAGAGTTGGCAAATTTGGCGAACATAGACGAGCCCTGCTGTATCGCGTAGAACACGGCGAGCGCAGCCATGCGCCAGTTGGACGGGACGAACCTATCCTTGACCTTTTGTGCGAACAAATCCCACGACTTGAGTCCCTTCAAGTCCGCCCAATTCTCGTTCCACCAAGTGGCAGCAGTGTTCTCCTCCATCTTCAGGCCGGCAAGCGTGATGAGGGTGCCGGGTGCAATTGTCTTGTCCTGGTTCATTGCCTGCCAGGCTTCGTACGTGTCCTCACAGCGGCCGAGCCAGCCGTGGATCACCGCCGGAGTCAGAGACTCAGTGAGCTTCGGGAACTCGAGCTTCGACATGTGACGGGGTGCTGGAGGTGCAGGAGGAGGAGAAGGTGGGACTAGAGGGGTGCCTGCACGCGCAAGATGCGGTGGCGGGTCGCGGATGACGGGCGAGTCCGGAATGGGCGTGAGAGGAGATGTAGGCGGCCGTGACGTGGCGTTGTCTGTGGGATCAGCAGACGATGTCCGTGGACGGCGAGAAGGAACCGGAAGTGGCGGATGCAGGGAAGAACCGCCTGCAGCAGCCGGTATGGTAAATGTTTTTAAAAAACACAGGCTACCCAGCGTCCCGGGGTTTTGCAAAAGGCCACGCTAACCATATATGGTAAATGTTGCCTAAAAAAATGCGCAAAACAAGGATTGAACCGGCGACCTTCAGATACTAAGAGTAGCCGGCATCACTACCACTACACCAAGGAGGTTATAGATGTCCAGGTTGCTTACCCAGTTAGGTCAAGGCTAGGCTTGACCTAACTGGGACTGCTAATACCCAGACCTAGGGCAGGCAAGCTGCCCTAGGTCTTTGAAAATTGTTTTGCAAAGTTTATTCAGTGTTTTGATGGGGTAAAAAACCCTAACCAACCCTAACCAAGCTAACCAACCCAAACCCCTAACCAAAGAACTCCAATATACCTGGGAGACAAGGCAGCTAACCCCTAACTCTAACCTTCTAACCCTAACCCTAACCACCCTAACTCTAACCTGGCCCTATGCGGGCCCTACAGGGGTGGTGCAAGGCTTATTCTGTATTTTCCCACCTATATATGAACTATGCAAACTGAGGGATATATACAGCTCTAGTAGTGTAGTGGTTAATGCTTGGCTATAATT